TATGACCAACACAAAGCAGCCAATCAGAATACTGAAATAAAAACATATACCCACTTTCGAAGCATTTGAGTACAAATTCTGGACGAGTGCTTTCTAGTTTCTGAGGCATCTAGACACACATATTTGTACAAATTCTATTCTTTGACATTCAAGTCAAAGAATGGAATTCGTGACAGAAATAGAATTCGCCGATTTGGCGTATTTTTTTCCTGACACTTGTGCATTTGAGATATCTTGGAATTTTCAGAAAAAAGTAGAGGCATCCTGACATTTCACGACCAACTTATGGTGTCAAGTTTTATAGTGACTTTGGGAAATTGGAGAAAAAGGAAAAGATGTCAGATAGTATTCTGACGGAACATCACTTGCGGTATCCAGACCAGCTCTTCTCGTTGCATTGGCCAGTACCCCTTTTAGCCAACCCACACGACACAAGAAAATAACGATTAATGCAACTCGAGGCAACCAATTTGATCAGGTGGCATACAGTAGTGCAATATGGGAATGCGAACAACATCCTAAACCAAGGAATGACGAAGGAACACTTGCAATACTATCCTTAACTTTGTGGTACAGTATAAGTTAGACGCTGAGTTGTGCGTTGCACGGGCAATCAACCATCCGCTCCATTTTGACCATGCAAGGGTTGCACGCATACCGCAAATCGCCGCCATTTTTCGTGGCTCGAATGAGGTCGAACATACGACGCGTCGGTGGCTCGTTATGTGCAACATAAATAACGCACACAAAGCAGCCGTTCTCGAGGGTCCTCGACAGGTGCGTGGAGTGGCGCAACATCCAATGAACCACGTGGACGTGGTCGTGTTGGAAGGTGTGCAACAACGCCACTTCGATCATTTTGTTGAAGTCTCCGTGCAACAATTCAGGCACACCAAAAAGCCAAGCCACGACATCCAAGTGACCCATGCATGCAGCATCGACCATGGCGTCGATTGTATATCGTTGGGATCGATTCACTCGAAGCCACTGGAGGACATGTACATGCCCGGCATACGCGGCCCAGTCCATGGCCTTGGTCGTACATCCACCCATTTGGTGGTCGTGCAGCCATTCAACTGCTTCCAAATGGCCATTTCCAGCCGCCAAGTCCATGGCATCGGCCGTACAACGTTCGTTTCGATGCATGTGGAGCCATTCGACTACCTCCATGTGGTTGTTTGCTGCAGCGTTGTTTATCGCTGCGACTGTACAACCCACCGTGGTGTGCTCATGCAACCACTGGACAACACTCAAGTGACCGTGTGCCGCCGCACAGTCCATGCCGTACTTCGTTCCTGTGACACCGCAATGTTCAACCAGCCAACGCACCACGTCCAGATGATTGTTCTTCGCTGCCCAATCCACCGCATCATTGGTACAGCCTTCGGTTCGATGGCGAAACAACCATTGGACAACGTCCAAATGGCCATTTTCCGCTGCCCGATCCATGGCGGTTGTCGACGACTTGGACAGTTGGTGGGTGTGCAAATATTTCACCATTTCTAATTGTCCGTTCCCAGCCGCAGCACTGAGTGTTTCGTAAAGCCAGGGAGTGGGTTTTATCCAAGACTCAATGAGTGCTTCGCAAAACCAAGGAGAGGGTTTTGTCCAAGCCTGACGCCAGCGACACCCTTCGGTTAGACGTTGATGTAAGAACTTCACCGTTTCTAAATGTCCGTGCTTCCCGGCGTTGTACATGGCTTCGTAGGAGCATCCTTCGTGGCGGTTGGCATGAAGCCATTGGACAACATCCAAATGACCATTCTTCGCTGCATCGTCCATGGCACTTGAGGTGCATTTCTCGACGTACGGATGCAGGTATTGCACAGTTTCCAAATGTCCATTCGTTGCCACCTCGTCAAACACATTAATCCACCCCTCGTCGTTGTGGTCGATGGCTGTGACATGTTGATTGAGATACGTTAGCACGTCCAAATGGCCATTCTTCGCTGATTCAAAACACCCGTGCTTCGTCCCGCCTTCCCCACGGTGTTGGTGCAAGTACCGGACGATCGCCAAGTTGCCGTTGCCAGCTGCGGCGTCCATGGCATCGGCGGTGCATCCACCACATCCATGTTCATGCAGGTATAGCACCATCCCCAAGTGGTTACAGCGGGCGGCTACGTCCAACAGCTTGTCACCTTGGAACCACTCGAGGCCAACTGTCTTGTGCAGGTACTGGACGACGTCAAGTCGATTGTTCCAAATAGCCACCAACATCACAACCCGTTGCATGTGCGGCAAACATGCAAACAGTTTCGGCAGTCGGGACAACCCCCAAGCGTTCAGCCACGGACCCAACGCTGCTGCCAACGCTGTCATGGCGGTATCCTCGTTTGTAT